CACCGTCGCCAATTCTTCAATAGGTTATGAGCCCCGAGTAGCGCCGACAGCTATCGTCCGATTGTTATTTCTATCCCTTATCGACAATGGTCAAGGATAAGCTTGATGAGCCGCTGGACCTCCACAACTACTCCACCTGGCAAATCAGGTTTAGCGCGATGTGCATGGAGCTTGGGCTTGAGCAATCCCTGCTCGCCGAGCCGTGCAACGAGGAGCAGATTCGACAATCACGGAAGGTCATCAATCTGCTCATCAAGAACGTCAAGGATCATCATTTGCCGATGGTTACCGGTGCTGCCAACGCGAAGAAGGCCTGGGACGCCTTGGGATCTATGTTTGCTGCCAACAACAACGCCCGCAAGGTGTCTCTACGTCAAGAATTCAGCCGTTTTAAGATGGTCGACAGCGAACCTCTTCCGATGTACTTTGCGCGTGCAAGGCAGCTGCAAACAGATTTATTGGGAGTCGGCCACATAGTTAACGACTCCGAGCTGGCGTACACCGTCCTAATTGGTCTACCCAGTCGGTACAGCGTGGTGACGACTACATTACTAATGCGCGACGGCGATTTGGACATGGCGAGCGTCACAGCAAAGCTTCTCTCTATCGAGACGGCTAACGGTGGGTCGGGCAAGCCTACCGAGTCGGCAGCCTTCGCGTCTGTCGGCGGTTCGACGTTCGGCGCTTCTACTTCTGGTTATGGTAGCCAGGGGCCGGCTAACAACAGCTCGGGACACAGTCGGAAACAGCTCATCTGCTACTACTGTAATAAACCTGGGCACGTGGTAAAGGACTGCAGGCAGCTTAAAGCGCTGAAGCAGTCGTCAAATTCTGGTTATAAGGGAGGGTACAACAACAGTGGCAACGGAGCTAGTGGCAGCGGAGCTAGCGGCAGCAAGCCAGGATCCGGTGGATCAGCTAGGGGGCCAGGAGTTCCGCGGCAGGTAGCGTTCGTAGCATACAACAGCGAGCGTCCGACGGAATGGTTTCTGGACTCAGCCGCCACTCACCACATAACGTATGACCGCTCAGAATTTTTCAACGTGCGGTTGTTGGAGCCATGGGCGCGCTTCAACATCATGGGCATCAAGGGACAGTCTCTTCGGCCGACTGAAGTTGGCACGCTTATGATTCGGTCTAACGTCAACGATAAACAGGCCATTACTTTTAAGAAGGTCTACGTCGAGGAGGAGGCCACCACCAAAATCCTATCGGTCCGCATCATTGATGATCGTGGAGGTAGTGTGGTCTTTGGCGGCGGACAGGTGAAAGTATACGTACAGAACCACTTGGTGCTGACTGGAAAGCGGGATGGGGACTTGTATCCCGTCTGCTACAGCAGTGGAGGTACGGGAGCTCTGAAGTGTGAAGACAACAGGATACCTTCTGGTGGTGATGCAGTGTGTGCTGCCGTGGGTATCGGAGCTGAACGTGCAGCACTTTGGCACCGAAGGTATGGCCACTTAGGATACAGCAACCTTGAGGCGCTGCTGCGTCATGATATGGTAACTGGATTCGATGTTGACCGACACAGCATACAATCAGCCAGCGCGTGTGTGTGTGAGACTTGCGTCTTTGCAAAGCATACACGTGGTCCTTTTCCGTTATCTGGGCATAAGGCAGCGCAGCCTCTCGCGCTCATTCACATGGATGTGTGTGGACCTATGCCTGAACCTATACCTAGTGGTTCGCGTTATGTGACAACTCTATGCTATGCTTGACGACCATACTGGTCTTTCAGCTGTTGCGTTTACAGCGACCAAGGAGGAGGTCTACCAGAAGATGGTGGTTATGATAGCGGAACTGGAGCGCGCTTCTGGCAGGCAGGTTAAGGAGGTGCGTATGGATCGTGGCGGGGAGTTCGTTAATACTCGCACGAAGGCCTATTTCGCTTCCAGGGGTATTGTACACGGAACTACGGTAGGCTACACCCCTGAGCAGAACGGAGCTGCGGAACGTTTAAATCGCACTCTTTTGGACAAGACTAGGGCTATGCTCGTTGAGTCTGGACTGCCTAAATCATTATGGGCGGAGGCGTTAGCAACAGCCAACTATCTTAGGAATGTGTCGCCAACTGCT